TTTTCGGAAAAAAATAGATGGGTAAGGCATGCCTTTTTTTTGCACGTCTAACCCTTCGAAACTCATATACCCCTTTTCTGAAACCCTTTCAGAACCCTTAACCCGAAACCCTAAACCCTAGACCTTAAAAACCCTAAACCCGAAGCCCTAAACGCTAATAGGCCCTAAACCCTAAACCCTAAACCCTAATAGGCCCTAAACCCAAATAGACCTTACACCCTAAACCCGAAAGAGAACCAGAACAAGGCGCCTGCCGGTCGCAAAGTCCTGGGCAAAGTCAACTTTCAGTCCAGCGACCCGGGCAGCTTAACTTAGGGTTTAGGGTTTCGGGTATAGGGAGGGGTTTAGGGTTTAGGTTAAGGGTTTCGGGTACAGGGAGGGGTTTAGGGTTTAGGTTTAGGGTTTAGGGTCTGGGGAGGTCACTTCAAGTTCGTAGTTTTATATCGTGTTGTCTGAGAGTAGTTTCTCAGATTATATGCTGTATTATAGTATAGTTCGTATGGTTGTATCATATTATCTCACAGGGTTTGTTTATATTCTGGTGTATTTGAGTATATCTTAGTATATACTATAAGTTCAAAATATCATAGCATGAGAGTTCCTTCTGAGGTTCCACAAGGGTCACAAGGGTTGGGGCATAAGGATCAGTCTCGGGCGTTTAGGCTTCAAGGTTCAGGGTTTGGGGTTCAGGGTTGAGGTGTGGTGTCGGGTTTCTGGTTTGGGGTTCGGGGTTCAGGTTTAGCCTTAAGGGTTGAGGGTTCTAAGTTCAGAGTTTGGGATGACCGGTCTAGGGTTTGAGGTTTAGGAGTTTTATGGTTGAGGGTTTATGTTTCCGGGGATTATGGCGCCGAGGATTGGGTTCAGGGTTCAGGATTCAGAGTTTGGGTGTACAGTGTTTTTACATGGGGGGGGGGCGTAGTGTTTTCAACAGGCCTGAGCTGGTTTAAAGAGCTCTCCAGGGTTTAGGGATATGTCCAAACACCCGTAAGCTGAGTTGACATCGTAGAAGGCACACTAGCAGTACTTCAGCCAACTTCAGCCAATCAACTTTTCAACTTTTTCGCGCTCCAGTGTCTTGTGGCGGGAATGTTTTTGCTTCAACCGTGGTACGTAGGTATCCATAGTATGGGAATTCTGTAAATGACGGCTCCTTTGAGGTTCATTCTTAGGCGCATATCAAGAGTGGCACCGTTCTCTTGGGAATCCACAGCAGAGCTCTAGTTTAGAGAACTATCCATATCACCTTACCAGCACCCGTGTCTATGGTAGAGTTGCAAGTAGAGATTGTGAGTTGATATGAATTTCTGCAGCTGAGTGAGTGCACTTGACACTCTCCGGGATAGTATGAACTCAGCAACTCCGCTCTCGTGGGACCCTTCGGATTTAGTTTTTTGGGCACTTTGCCTTAAACCTTAAACCCCAGACCCTAAACCCTAAACCAAGGCAGATGTTGCTCCGTATGCTATGAAGCCCGAACTCCTTGTAGCCCATCGCACACGGAAGCTTACTCACCTGCCGAAGACCTTGAATGCCTAACCCCTAACTAGGAACTACGTACGCCCTTAAGGCCGAAAACCTTGTGAATTCCCAAAGCAAGCTTTTCTCCCCAGAGTCCAACATAGAGGGCGGAATAATATTTGCTAGCATGTCCTTGTTGTCCCTACACGTTTATGATGCTACAACATACACTCTTCGAATCTTTGAAGGCGCCTGTATTACACGTTTATGATGCTACAACATACACTCTTCGAATCTTTGAAGGCGCCTGTATTGTATTGTTTCCAGATCCTTGGGTTCCTGGGACTACCGAGTCAGTGGGAGCACTTGTTCGATCATCTGCGGCGTCTATATTGTGGTCTCGAGGTTACCAACACATGAGCTGTCCGCGGGGCTTTGCTATTGAACCCCAAACCCTCAAGTCACTCACAGCAGTTCTAGCACCAAAAGCTCTAGACCCTAAACCAAAAGCTCCGAAGGCGAGGAGTGAAAGGGCCACTACACTTAAACAAAAAAAACTAAAAGCCCTAAATCCTAAACCCCAGAGCACCTGGATCCTCAGAAGACATTGGTTGGATCGGCGGCAAGTTCTCGGGCGACAAGAATCCCGCCAAGGCGAATGTGACCTTGATGGAATTGCAATATGTAGGGTCTGGTTTCGGCTTCGTAGGATCTGCATGGCAGTGTGGCATCTTTAGATTCGTATGTGTAGAGGCACATTGGACGCTTTATTTACAAGGCTTCCTGCCACTGGGTTTGCGCAATCCCGTCGTGTGATGCTCCTCGCTAGTTAATTAATGGCACATCCCAGGGCCTCGACTGGAGCACCGGCGGGATTTAAGGGTTGAGGGTTTAGTGTTTAGGGTTTCTCGCTGAACCCGCCCTGCGTGGTTTAGATTCGTGCAAAGAGGCTTTCAGCTGGGGGGCTTGCAGTCAGCAGTGGCCGTAGCCGTAGTGGGAGGAGGAGGAGGAGGAGGGGTAGCAGTAGTCGTGGTATTGGTAGTAGTTGTGGTAGTCGACAACAAGAAGTGGCAGAGCTGACGAATTTCGACATAGTTATTCCTACCTCCCAAATCCTACTCTAATTATTGAGGCATCTGTATTGGCTCGAAGGGACGGAACTCTGCCAGGGCAGGAAAGGGGCAACAAGTCTGAAATCAACACCTTCTTGCGTAGCATCTGAAGCTTTCAATTTACCAAACGGGACTTTCCGAAAATTAGGGTGCCTTAATTTTGGGGGTCCGTATAATAAGGATCCTACTATTTAGGGTACTATATTAGGGTCCCCTATGTTCGGAAAACCATAAACCCTAAACCCTGTAAATCTGAAGCTTAGAGCCGGAACTCTGGGTGTGGAGGCTTCGGTCTCCAGGAGCACTCGAACGGTTTAGGGTTTAGTGTTTAGGGTTTAGGGTTTAGGGGTTTAGGGTTTAGGGTTTAGGGGTTTCCAGTGGAACTTCCAGACAACACGGCCGAGGTCGCTCCTTCCGTGATTTCTCTACACCTCGGCGCTGAGGGTGGGGACAGCGGTGCTGCCTGCTGGAAGAGGCGCGCTGGGGAGTTCTGCATCACGACGTGCCTCCGCAGAATCTTCAGGTAAAGGCAGCATGTAGTGTTAACGAAAACGAATAGACGAGCAAAGCTAAATACGAAGCACAATAACATGAATGGTCGGGGGCACAAAGTGTATTAGTAGCAATAACTGAAAGTGCTGTTGTTGCTCATAATCGAAGCAGTACTACACTAGCAGAGTCATTGATTGGAAAAAGGAATCTCGACAACGGGATGGCAGTTGGGAGTTTTACTGTCATTCATCGTGAGGACAGCATGTTGAGACTCCACGCATTCATGCAACATCTTGGTGAATGCAAAGACAGCCCCCAAACAACTGTCTCAAAAGGAGCATAATTGAATGTTAGGACCGAAGTACCCATAGGCCCCTAAGTAGTTCCTTTCTGTGGCTTATATTTAGAATCCTATAATGTAATCCCAAAAAGGAACTACTTGGGGCCTATGGATAGATGCTACAATGGGTACAAGGACCCGTAGTGTTGAAACCTGCATTGCCAAAGCCAGGCGAGCAAAAGCCTTCGTATGGTTCGGGATCAAAACAGCCCTTAATAGGTTGCATTTATAACCATGGTCTAGTAGATCCGGAATTTGTAATATTCCTATCTATCTATCTATCTATCTATCTATATGTATATATATATGTAGAGTAAACCCAAACGTTGGGAACTGGATTACTGTAAGGACAATTAGTGCTGGGATTCGCTATACAATATTTCTTCAACATTGAGGCTATGGGTTTCCAACTTTTGGGCCTCTACTGTAAGGCCCTGCAATCTTCATGCATAAGAGCTTAAGGCCTGGCGTTTAAGTCTCCCTACGGTTTAGGGTTTAGGGTTTTGTAGTTAGGCTCATGCATTTCGAGGCTGATGGAGGAGCATTCCTTGGACGGGAATGGCCGCCCGATTGAAGGAGCTTCCCTAAACCCTAAACCCCAATCCCTAAACCCTAAACCCTAATCCCTGAACCCTAAACCCTAAACCCTAAACCGTTTGCAGGTCTCCCCTTCTCCCCGTTTTCCCCTTGTGAAGTCTCAGGTTTCTTGCAGATGTACCCAATTACCAAAAGGGGAGCCCTGTTTAATCCCAGGTTGCTGGGCATCCGAGTGCGCTGTCTCAACGTTTCTGTAGACCATAAGCGTACATCTCTTCCTGCATGCATACACTACCTAAATCCACACATCTCTTCCTGCATGCATTGGCATGTGTATGCCATGAACACCCGGACACAGATAATTACACAGGTTGATACATGTATATAGTCGTTACATAGTCATACATATACATCCATGTGTTTAATGTATTCACTCTTTCACTCGTTCGTCGATCATTCATTCATGCTACGTTCTTGCATTTCTAGATATGCACAGTCACACATGCCAAGCGCTCCGACAATCGCTGCGAGCATCCCCACAAATGTCGCTTTAGCCCTGACCAGCCCCTCAACCTCTGAAGTTCTGCCTCTGTTCCAAAAACCGACACCCGTCTACTGCGACGACGGCGGCGACGACGACGGCTGCAGCTGCTGCTACGACAACCACGACGACGCTGAGGACGACCGCTACTACTATTTAATGCTACTACTACGAGGACGGCGACGACGACGACTATTGCTACGGCTGGGCTACGACTACGACCCCATCTATGCATGGCTGGACATGCATATTTGTAGGAAGGCAGCCTTTAACAAACATTGCTTGCAGACTGATCCTGAATCTTGCTCCATCGTGACCGTTTCCTTACGCAGGAGCCCGCATCACTGTATTGCAGGGCCAGCCATGTGATCTTACCCATGGGACATGAACTTTAAATGACGCCCTGACGAAATCCTAAGTGCAGGGAAGATTTGTGACAGCCGCGCTCTCACCAGCCATTCAATCGGCCCGAGCATTCTGCTTCTGTAGTATTTCGCATCTTGATCACTCTCTACCGGAGATGCTTCGCATCATCTTCGCATTTATCGGAATTGCTGCCGCAGAGGCCTCGTGCATCGGTGAGGCTTGCCCCTCTCGTGGAGATGCTCTGCTCCAGCACCAACTGGCCCATGAGAGGGTTCAGACCGGCGGCTATGAGCTCGGAGGGGACAACACCCAAAGCTGCGGCTACCAGCGGGATCGCATCCACACCCCTACGGAATGCAGGGACGCCGCAGCGGTTCTCGGCCTCCCCTATGGCTACACCGGTTCGTACAGCGGATGGCCACGATACTGCTTCACCTACCGTGACCTGGTCTACTTCAACGAAGACGCTGGGCAGACTTGAGAAACTTGCATGTCACCTTCAGAAAGATGCAAAGTAGCGCAAGCGGGGGCCGGAAGGTTGGGTTCCACTTGCTAGGTCATCTCAGATCTATGGTCACACAGTCGCACATGACCTCTGACACAGAGTACCGGCATTGCAACCCCCCCCGAAGCCCCCAGACCAAAGCCTGAACTCTGAGCTTCAACACTCGAACACTTCTAAGCCCAAACCCTGAAGCTGCACACCCTAAATGCAAGAAGAATGCTATGCCAAGTAGAAGCCAGAAAGTTGGAGCATTCTCCTGGTACCTTTAAGGTACAAGGTAAGGCATTCTAGCACTAATCATCCTAAATTCATGTTCCAACTTTCTGGGGCTCGCTGTAATTATCCTAAACCCTAAACCCCAAACCCTAAACCCAAATTTGTAAATCAAAGCTCATGCCAGGACGCAGTCAACTCTGCCAGCCGAAACGATGCCCGTCTGGTCTGCGAGCGCGTGGAGCCCACGACAACCACAACGACCACCACCATCCTCTACGACAACGTGCCTCAAAGACCCGGTTGCGGGTTTAGGGTTTAGGGTTTTGGGGTTTAGGGTTTAGGGTTTAGGGTTTTAGGGTTCAGGGTTTAGGGTTTAGGGTTTAGGGATTACAGTAGGGCTTATAGGGTTTATAGGGCGTAGGGATTGGTAGGGGGTTCTAGGGTTTAGGGTTTTGAGGGTTTGGGGATTAGGGTTTAGGGTTACGACTGCGTGCCTCGGGGGCTGGTCTAAGGTTTACAGTACCTGGAGGGTCATACTCTCCCCCTTTCATAGGGTACCTGCTTAGGATCTTATATACGGAGAGATCATCGGTACCTTAAGAACGAGGTAGGGTACGACCCTATATCTATATATATATACATACATACACTACGATTATGGAGTTGTCCCGGAAACCATAATCGGGATGGTCTCTTGGGACCAAATTCCAATATACACACACACATATATATATATATACACGGACCCTTTGGGTTAGTCATTTGTGCCCTGAGGTGGTGAGCTACGTGATCGGCGCCCCAGGCTTCGATTGTGCGGAAGGCCACGTGGTCGCCACGCACGCGGAGTGCGCCAGCAGCGACTTAGTTCTCCAATGCCCAACCCTCGGGCTCCAGTTACCTAAATAGTGGGTTACTAACCATATATTATGTACCCCAGTAAACCTACTATTTAGGTAACTGGAGCCCTAGGGCAACCTTTAAACTTTTTGGGTTCTTATAATTTAGTAGTAATCTGAAAGTTTAACCTTTTATTTCCCTGGCTTATTGGGGAAGTAAGGTGAACTGATCACCCAGACAGGGATCCATTTCTCAAACTGGGCTTCCACGAACCGAATGCAGTTCGGCTGCTTGTATTCCAGTAGTCTGCATGCCCTGTTCTTCAACTACTTCGAGGGAGGCAGTGTCGACTACAACTACTCTCCAGTTTGCAAGACCGAAACGAGTCTTGGAGTTTGAAGTGGCCCTAAACCCTAAACCCTGCGACTGCGGACTCTGCTACCTGCAGTGCGAAGGAGCCCCCGACCTCCCACGGATGTCCTGAATGACTCCCAAAGGCTACGGCCAAGACGCAGGGTTCTAGGGTTTAGGGTTCAGGGCTTAGGGTTTAGGGTTTAGGGTTTAGGGCTTAGGGTTTAGGGTTTGGGGTTTAGGGCTTAGGTGTCAGGGTAAACCCTGAGCCCTAAAGCCGCGCACTGTAGAGCTTCATTTCGTCCCAGGAATCCCGTCGTTCGCCACTTCGACTTGGGCGACTTCGACACCAACTCGTGTCGCCATGGGCAGCCAATTGATGACTCAGAACCTCGGCAGTACGGTTTAGGGTTCAGGGGCCGCCGGTTGATGGTTCCGGAACCTGACTCAGCTTTTCGCCGAAGATAGGGCCTAGGATTTGTGGTATCGGGCTGCTCAGGGCAGACATCTTACGTGTTAGGGGACACTTGGCTTCTTGCAGGAAGCAATATGTACAGCCAGAAGCTCTCGCCAACATATTCAAACTGCTCGCCCTACGCCCGACAGCTATTAGGTAATGTAGGGGCCTTAATACTTAGAATAGGGTTTTGGGGGGTTCCTTGTTATAATTATAGTATAATATACCCCCAAACCCTATTCTAATCAATAAGGCCCTTTTAGTAACCTCTGCAAAATCCTGGGTTTCTCGTGTTTGGCTGTGTGGTTTAGGGGCTTGAACAAAGACCAAGACTACTCCCCGTTCTGTGATGCAGTTATTTATGTGTATTGTGATCTGAATAGAACTCCACATCCTAATCCAAGTAGTAAGACCCCGACTCGAGACATCTAAGGAGCTTTGCCGCGAGTCTGCTGCCTCTTTCGGCGAGGTGTCTCAGTTCTACATTGGTAAGTTCCTGCTTTGTTGTTTCCATGATGGATAAATGCCGTCTTTAAGCCTAGACCCTAAGCCCTAAATGCCAGGAAGTCATCTGTTAGCTTCCTTAGACGGGCTTTAGCGAAGTGGCGACAATGCATTTCCTCGTTCCTTTGTTCTAGCCATGGTGCGAACTAAGGGTTTAGGGTTGAGGGTGTCGATTCCACTTTAAATCCAGTCTTTGGGCAGCAAGTGTCCCATGCATTGGAGTGTGGATTCACAGCAATCCCTTTGAGCAAGCATTCTATGCGCCATGGCACGGCAGTGTGAAAACAGGAACCGGAACGCCACGAAGTATCTTATACTGAGCATGCCCTAAACCCAGAACCCTAAACCCTAAATCCCTACCCCTAAACCCCTAAACCCACACAACCC